GAGTCGAGCGCCCTAACCACCTGGCCATGCCGGGCCTCTGCACTCTGTCAACCGCTAGAAATCGAACTCCGAATTTCTGCGTTGTAAGTCAGTATACTTATCGCCGAAAACCTGGTATGGCCTGGTGGTTAGGACACTCGACTCGCAATCTGAGGATCGCGGGTTCGAATACCTCCTCCGAACATGCTCGCCCTTTCAACCCTGAGGCGGAGGGGAGGGGGTTATAATGTGACGACCAATACCACTATGCGTTGGTAAAGAGTAGACCAAGAGCCGGTGGTGGGTGGAGTTTACTAGCTGCCTTCTCTCTCGTCTAATACTTAAAAACTTAGGGACGGCTAATGCAGACAGCTCTTGAGTAGCTTTACGCAAAATTCAACAAAAACAAACTTATCGCTGACCCATCGTGGGTGTGCTTTCATATGTATTGGCATAGGATGGGTATTGTTGGCCTTTGCGTGAACTAAGTTTATGGGAATATAATGCGTTGTATTTAACGTTGGAAAAATACTCACACAAAAAAATTATCTATTTCTTATTTGGATCGTTACGTCTCTGGTCGTTAGTTAATTCCCGTATAATTTCTTTCCGATGAAACTTTAGCGATACAAGTCCTTTCTTATAGAAGGATTTTAACTTAAACACGCGCTATAATTCACAACGATTCACGCACTTTACTTCCGACTTGACTCGATTATCTGTCTCCCTATCTCTCTGTCTGTTATCCAATTAATTATCTCGCTTTATTTGCCGCGCTTATATACAAGAATAGAGGGCGTCTAGAATGCACTCGCCTCTTCATGAACCTTCTAGACACTTATCACGTGTTACCAGTGTCAGGTGACCTCCGCTGTCGTAACAATATTATATCTGAACCATCAGAGGATGATGTCTCAGTTCATGGGGATTTTGTTCGTTTGTTCGTGGTTTATAGAAGTCGGTAATTTTTGGTTTTTGTTTAAACTCAAGCGATCAAAGATTTTAAGTACAAACTTTAAAACATTGCACTGAGACTGTACACGTTTCAACGTTCAGTCACTTCATTTACTCAGGAACGTAAAATCGAAAACACGATTCAAACCGTATACATATCAAAAACATTAGTCACGTGACTCAGTACTCCTACGTAATTTATGAACTGAATTTAAAGATCACGCCATAATTATACTTTCTGACTTGCTTTATTCATGATAACATAATTATTTTTATTATGTCTCATTGTTTAAATAGATTCTCTGATATTTAAAGCCTTAAGATATTTAAGATTGAGATTTAGCTTTAAAATTTTTGTATAAATGTACTAGTTACTAATATTTATGATTTTTTATTAATGAGCTAAGTCAAGTATTAGAGTTCAATGAATTTTTGATAGTTTGTTTTTTACTGACTTTTACAAGGGGTATACAATTTTTTTACTGACTTTTACAAGGGGTATACAATTTTTTTACTGATTTTCACAAGGGGTATAAATTTTTTTACTGATTTTCACAAGGGGTATACAATTTTTTATTAATTTTTACAAGGGGTATACAATTTTTTATTAATTTTTACAAGGGGTATAAATTTTTTACTGATTTTTACAAGGGGTATAAAAAATTTACTGACTTTTACTAGGGTACACATCTTTTACTGATTTTTACAAGGGATATAATCTTTTTTACTGATTTTTACAAGGGGGTATATAAGTGATCTTTAATACTTAACTGGTTAATTGTGGTGAGGGGTGTAGTTTCTGTAGATGATTAAACTGCAAAAAAAACAGCAGTTTTTTATTCATCTAGTCAATAAACAGCTCATGACTGATGAACATTTCAATCAAATTGAAATCTCTACTCCAGGTCTATAGCCAGATTGTGACTCAGAATCATTGCAATCAATCAGCAATTTTCACGCACAAATAATATAGATTCAATTTGAAATCTACGCAACGCTCTCAAAAAAAAAAAAACTGCAAGCGAAAAATGTATTTTTCTTTCATTATGTAAACAGAGAGACCCCCACAATCGCACAATATTTGAGTTTAAACAATTAAAAACACTGAATTTTAAAATACGCGAGGGAAAGGCATAGTAATAAATTTAGGATTTTTAATTTAATTTAAGTTTATAGAGAAATAGCAAGTTGATCTTCGTATAACTAAATTTTATTTTAACTCGGTAAAAAAACAACTTTTTCTAGATTCGTTTTGCAGCACTCGAAATTAAATAAATTAAGGCTAACTCTGAAAGTTGTTATTATTAAGCACAAAGCTACACAAAATGCCATCCTTGCTTTGTCCACTAAGGGTATCGAAACCCGGTTTCTAGCAGTATAAGTCCACGGATATGCCGCTGTGCTACTGGGGGGGGGGGGTAATTTTGAAAGCTGATTATGTTGTTTTGTTAGAAATATTTGGAAATTTTCTCCGCTGTTCTTTACTAAAATGTTTAAATTCGTTATTTTTTTTATTGTTGTGTTTTTTTAAGAAGTTGTTCAACATCGTTTATTCGTTGGAGTGGAGTTTATCATTTAGATAAGCCAAAATTAATGATATACATTCAATATTATTTCATGATTTATTTGCTTATGAGCTATAAATTCAATAATCAACTTTCTTTTTTTTTTAGATTTTCTTGAGTATATATATATATATATGTATGTATGTGTATGTTTCTCCTTATATTCATGAATCATCAAAGCTCCTCAACATAAAAAAACCAATTTTATTTTCTGATATTAACATTTGTTAAACTGGCACCTAAAATATGATCCTTCCAACAAATTTTGAGTTTCGTATTTATTCATCGACAAACAATGAACAGCGGTAGCTTTAAAACTGCTTCTTCTATTTTTCTTTCATGATTTTTTGAACTCTTTGTCACCACCCTATAGTAGAACTAACCAAACACAAAAGCCTTTCTTCTCTACTACTACCAAATGACGCAACAACGTCTTCATTAGAGTTCTATTCTTTTGTAGCGTTCTCTAGAAGGTGGTACTCATACAGGTGATAGATTATTTCCCACTCCATCCTACTGGCCATTGACAAGGTTTGCTCAGGAATACATAAGGCACTTGTCACCGGACTGAGCTGATGTCCATATAATATATACTGGTGTCTAAATAAAAGTGTTCCAGATATTCAGCAGAGGAATACTAAACAAGAATAAATGTGTTGGTACATTTTAATAACATTTAACACTCAGGTTCCAATTTTTGTATTATTAATTCTGTTATTTTTTTCATTTTCAGAATGACCTGCAACATTCTGAAAACTAAATTATGTTATCGTAGCTCCTAGTAAATACTTCTTATTTTTAACCTTTTGGATATTTAGGGAGAACACCTTTGGTGGACTAGGATGGAAAATATTTCACATGAACACTTCAACAAACAACCTTTTGGATCATTATGGAGGACACTTTTGGTGGACTAGGATGGAATATATTTCACATGAACACTTCAACAAACAACCTTTTGGATCATTAGGGAGGATACTTTTGGTGGACTAGGATGGAATATATCTCACATGAATATCTCAACAAACAACCTTTTGGATCATTAGGGAGGACACTTTTGGCGGACTAGGATGGAATATTTTTCACATGAACACTTCAACAAACAATCTTTTGGATCTTTAGGGAGGATACTTTTGGTGGACTCGTTTGGATATATTTCACATGAACATCTCAACAAACAACTTTTTAGAATATTAGGGAGGACACTCTTGGTGGACTCGGTTGGAATATATTTCACATGAACACTTCAACAAACAACCTTTTGGATCTTTAGGGAGGATACTTTTGGTGGACTAGGATGGAATATATTTCACATGAACACTTCAACAAACAATCTTTTGCATCATTAGGGAGGATACTTTTGGTGGACTAGGATGGAATATATTTCACATGAATACCTCAGCATATAATTGTATATATTCTTAAGAATATTCTTTAAAGACGGTTAGTAAATCCTGATATACTAATTACATAAGTTTTATTGTTTTCATGAAGTTACACTGCATGTCGCCATACTGAATAGTTGTTCTTCCTTCAGTAGCTTAAAATTGGATTTTTCATTTCGTTGATATTCTCCAGTGGCCATTGGTGGGCCTTAGAATTAATAACACAAAAGATCGTTGTTCGATTGTGTAGCTTTGCGCTTAAACAAAGCAAATACTTCCCTCATGAGAGAAAGAAAGAAAGTAGAAATGTCTCACTTTACGTGAGTAAAATGTTTATCATAAGAACATTAAAAGAAAAACATTTAATTGCAAAACTTGGCTAACACAACAAAACATAAAACGTAACATTAAAATCACCAATATCCGATTAAACGTTTTTCTTTCCTGATATCAAACACATGTTATTAACAAGTATATGTGTCTTGTGAAATATGTGTGTGTGTACGTTTTTCTTTAGCAAATCCACATCAGGCTATCTCCTTGTTCACCGAGGGGAATCGAACCTCTAATTGTAGTATTGAAGTTCCGTAGACTTACCACTGTCCCACCGGGTGACTTTGTAAAAATAGGTGAATTTCGGCAAAACAGTTTTTTTTTTATCCAGTACCGTAACACTGAGTAATCAAGGTTTCAAACTTGTTTAAACTCTAATAATTCAAAACCATTTGCCGTGAAATAAAGATGAAAACAGATTCTTTAATATAGTATTTTGTCTATACGTGTTTCTTTATTCAAATTTCCTGCTCGTTTATTGGTCTTCCAGTGATTCTAAAATACAACCAACAACTCACCCTGTGAAGCGGGAAGCGATTTCTTTTTTAAGTAAGTAAAGAATTTATATGGTGCAGACAGCTAAACAATGTGAGAAAAGACAGAGTAGAGAGAGGCACAGCCAACACACTAAGAGCTATACATCTTCAACCAGCTTTGATAAACTGTCGAGAACAAGAAGCAAAACGACTTTGCTCACCCTTTAGTGGTCGCTATCACGTGCCCTGTATATTTATTAAGGCAATAAATTGTGAAGTTTACGAGTAAGCGTAAACCGAGTGAGGATCCTGATCCACGTGTAAAAGGCGGGCGAACTAAGCATTAAAATAGTGTTCTTGTAAATTGGTGCCCACTGAACCTCTAGCGTGTTGTCATTATAGCGGCACAGCCAGTGGTACAAAATGAAGTTGTAATACAGAGCTGTGATTTAGTTGGCCTCAATACACACACACACACACATATATATATACACACACACCTACCCAGCCTGTTCCCATAGTGATTTATAATATCGTTTAAACTCGAGTGTCTAACATATTCAATGTTGCAAAAAATACGTGTTAATGATCCTTTAAGTCAACTTAACCTCTGATCTTAAAGCTATGTGTATAACTCTAGGGACAGATCTGTTTGTTTTTAGGTAGGGTGCCCTCAGAAATACCGCTGTTTAACTCGTAGAATGTGGCCGATTGATGTTTAAAAATAACTTAATAACTAAACGGGTGAGTTGTTGAATGCAAATATTTCATTTCATCTATTGTGAACATTAATATAAAAGATCCGCCCATATCATTATAACATATTCGTCTTTGCTTTCACTCATAATTGTTTTAGGATAATGTTTCTTTTCTAGACGATAATTGTGAGGAGACAGAATCTTCGCGAAATTCAAAGATTACAGATTAAAGCTGCACTCATCATCTAAAGTAACATTCAAGAAATCTCTGGGGACAGCCTTCCTCCCCCCATCCTCGGACAGTGGTGGCAGATTTGGACTACTTCAGGTGACTAATGACTCTGTTGGGAACAACTAGTTTTTCATCTTTTTCTCACAACATTCTACTCTGCGCTTATGTAATCAATGTAAGAAAAAAAAATTCCTGTTCTCGACATGCCAGTGGCTAGCGCGTGCGCTTTAACCGAATCAAACTGAACCAAACTCTCGGGTCTTAATTAATCTGGGGATTTTAGTACTTGACAATCTAAACTTTCACACTTTTCACACTTATTTGAGGCGTAAAAGCTCCGATTCGTAACTAAAGCATTCTAATTTCTTCGCTGGAAATTCTTCACGTTGTTTGGTAAATATACCAACTAATCAAAGTTCTTGTCTCCCCAGCTGTGTTTGCTTAAGGTTTATTTACAGAAACTGAAAACAGTCACATATTGTACCATACTAGCAAATACGTCAAAAGTTCCTTTCTCTGCAATTTCTATCCATAAAGAAGCCGAACTACAGCTGCCAAAAATATTCAGGGAGATGGCAAGATGGCAAAACACGTCTGGCGTTTGGCTCGAGAGAATGACACCTGAAGCAGGTTTCCCGACGGATCCTCATGTTGTTTTTCCGCTTCAACTATAGAAGAGGCGATGGACAAAACCCTGTAATAAATTACGCATAGGACGTTCCTCATGAGTTTCATGGCGTCGCTCTTAGCCAAAGGCAAAGAAAGCAACTGTTACAGAAAACAACTGTTAAAGAAAGCAAGTATTACAGAAAGCAACTGTTAAAGAAAGCAAGTGTTAAAGAAACAATTGTTAAATAAAGCAACTGTTAAAGAAAGCAAGTGTTAAATAAAATAACTGTTAAAGAAAGCAAGTATTAAAGAATGCAAGTATTAATGAAAAAACTGTTAAAGAAAGCAACTGTTAAATAAAACAACTGTTAAAGATAGCAAATGTTAAATAAAACAACTGTTAAAGAAAGCAACTGTTAAATAAAACAACTGTTAAAGAAAGCAAGTATTAAAGAAAGCGACTGTTAAATAAAACAACTGTTAAAGAAAGCAACTGTTAAAGAAAGCAACTGTTAAATAAAACAACTGTTAAATAAAGCAACTGTTAAATAAAACAACTGTTAAAGAAAGCAACTTTTAAATAAAACAACTGTTAAAGAAAGCAACTGTTAAATAAAACAACTGTTAAATAAAGCAAGTATTAAAGAAAGCAACTGTTAAATAAAACAACTGTTACTTCATTTTATTTTACTACTGACTTTACATACCAGACATCCAACTGACGTGAGGGTATGTCAGGGCTGTTGAAAATACCCTTAACGTGAGCTCTATCTCAACGACTAAAACGTTCCTTGCACGATCTATTTCCATACAAATAATGTTTAAGACTCTGTTTTTTTACAAATCTTATGGTTACCAAAGTGGGACTTATCCTTTTTGCTGAATCAAACCTTTCCTAATTAAGTTTCCATCGTACCGAACATAAACACAACACACACACACACACACATATATATATATATGTGTGTATATTTACAGTGCTTAAAATGCAGTTAAACAATGGGGGCTTTTGTTTATCCCCGAGAACAAATCATACTGAGGAGCAACAAGTAAAGCAACAGAACATAACACTCTGAGGAAATACGTAAATTGATGGGTAAAAATATATTTGTATTACAAAGATATGAATAGACTGTTTAAAAGAATGGTATTACCTCTTTTGGTAAGCAAGTACGTTAATTAGTAGCCTTATTTATTACGCTGTTTCAACAAATGCACAGAAGTAGATGTATTATGAGCTACAAAAAAAAACCTCCAAGGATTTAATTAATTTTTTGGAGAATATTTTATCGTTTTATATCTTTTATTTACTGTTAATGTTTTCCCTGTGGTCGTTTTAAGGTTTCATAAAGCTATTTGAATCTATTTCATATCAATAAACGTTATTATTACTACTCTCACGTGCACGCTAGTCTCTAGCCTCAGCAATCTAACGTATAGCGGATATAAAAAAAAAAAGAAAAGAAAAAAAGCATAATGGCGTCGTTAGTCATTCTGTCCGCCATCTTGGAACGACGCAGCAGTAGACTGGTGGTGTGCATCGCGAAAACGAAACGAATTTGAAAGTTCATCTAAAACTTACTGCAGTTTTTACGTTTTACTGAATTGATTACATTATGAACTTTCTTATCGTAAAGTAACTTAAATTCGTAATCGTAAGTTTAGAGGAAACGAATGTGTTTTATATAGAACTTAATTGCTGACAATGGCGACCCGCTTCTATCGAGCTTCTAACTGTAGGACGAGCCGAACCAACGTTAAACACAACCGCATCAAAAGCAACAGTCAGGTTGAAAGTAGAGGGAAGGTAAACATTTTTTGTTTTTATTAATTGCACTCAAACAGTGTTACGATTTGCACTTCTAATATCACCAGTGTTTAAAAGAATGTTGCTGGACTTGACGCATATACAATAAATATCATAAAAATGGAAACATACAGCTAAAGGATGTGTGGTAACTTACGAATTATAGTGTTATGAACTTATTTTAAATTCAATTAATATGTATATCAGTTTACGTCCTGTTCTTCAAACTCAGTTGATAATTATTGCATTTAAGATAGAAACACGTGTATGAATAACATGGTGTTTACGTGATTATGACATGTTTGATTGTGGACGATTATTAAAAACAGTAAACACTGTATTTATAGTTCTAAAGAGTGAAAACCTTCACACGCTTAAAAAAACATCTGTAAATGTTCCAAACACAACCTATTTTTTCCATATTGAAGTGTGTTTATCTTCAAGTAAATATAACCTTGTATCATCCACAAATCTTTGAAACTGTTACGCTTCAAATCAACTTTGTATCATTTTCGTTTTTCCTCGTTCAATTCACAACAAAGTGTGTTTAAACTATGTTATTTAATCTTAGAACATCACAACGAAGTGTGTTTAAACTATGTTATTTACTCTTAGAACATCACAAGAAAGTGTGTTTAAACTATGTTTTTTAATCTTAGAACATCACAACGAAGTGTGTTTAAACTATGTTATTTACTCTTAGAACATCACAAGAAAGTGTGTTTAAACTATGTTATTTACTCTTAGAACATCACAAGAAAGTGTGTTTAAACTATGTTATTTACTCTTAGAACATCACAACGAAGTGTGTTTAAACTATGTTATTTACTCTTTGAACATCACAACGAAGTGTGTTTAACCTATGTTATTTACTTTTTGAACATCACAAGAAAGTGTGTTTAACCTATGTTATTTACTCTTTGAACATCACAAGAAAGTGTGTTTAACCTATGTTATTCACTCTTTAAACATTACTTAGAGACATAAATACATTTCAGAATGTGGAATATGCTAAATTTAGAGGAAAAAATCGTTTACTATGTTTACGTGGAGTGAACTTAGAAATATAAAGCCCAATCTGGTTATATAGAAAGTCGGTTATTTTGCGGTGAATAGAAAGTAGAGTTTTCTATAAATTAGTTTCATTTTCGAAGCGTGAGATCTGGCACAGGTGAGATCCATTTCTTAGAGTTAAGAGAAACTTGAAGGATGGCTAACACGACTACCTAGCTACCTGAGATGAGCACAATTTGACATTAATTCTACTATGACAAATTGCAGGCCTTCACCTAATGACTTGAGGAAGAAAGAGGATAACGTACAGGGAAGAGTATCATGAAAAATCTATCAGATCTACTCCTCTAGTGGGCAACATATTTTAATTATACGACAGTCCCTAAAAGTAGATAGGGTTATTACTGGACGAGTTCCATGTAACACTTTTCTGAGGATATAAACTTAAAGCTGAGTTTTAGATTAGGAGTTCATTTTCGATTAAATAAACAAACTAAAATTGAGTCAATAGCATACTTTATTCACTGGATGAGGGGTATTTTGTTCAAACACGTATTATTAGGTATCCATAACTACTTTTTGAAATTTTATTATTAATTTCTGAAAGCTTATCACAGTACGTATTAAAATAACTGAAATCTAACGAGTAGGATCACTTTGAGTTAATTTATCAAACTTTGACTCATTGCTAACGAAACTTAGGAAACGAACACATTCTGATAATAAAGATCGAATCAAACTTTGACTCATTGCTAACGAAACTTATGAAACTAACACATTCTGATAATAAAGATCGAATCACACTTTGACTCATTACTAACGAAACTTAGGAACTAACACATTCTGATAATAAAGATCGAATCAAACTTTGACTCATTGCTAACGAAACTTAGGAACTAACACATTCTGATAATAAAGATCGAATCAAACTTTGACTCATTGCTAACGAAACTTAGGAACTAACACATTCTGATGATAAAGATCGAATCAAACTTTGACTAATTGCTAACGAAACTTAAGAAACTAACACATTCTGATAATAAAGATCGAATCAAACTTTGACTAATTGCTAACGAAACTTAAGAAACTAACACATTCTGATGATAAAGATCGAATCAAACTTTGACTCATTGCTAACGAAACTTAGGAAACTAACACATTCTGATAATAAAGATCGAATCAAACTTTGACTCATTGCTAACGAAACTTAGGAAACTAACACATTCTGATAATAAAGATCGATAGTTTGATTCGAATAAAAACATCAATGCATCTTATAACACACCGGGATTGTTATCCTAAGTGAAAATGGACTAGTTCTGTGTTCAGAAAAATTTTATTGAATTCGTTCTTAAGTTGTTAATTATACGCATTACGATTTAGATTAAACTTATAAATAGTCATAGATATTTGTGTTTTAGGCTTCGAAAATGGAGTTTCTATATTTTCAACCGGCAAAACCCAATCTCTATACGTGTTACGTATCAACACATTGGAATGTACTGGGAAAAAAAAAGTTTTCAAAGCATGTTAGGATATCAAGCTGCCTGCGATAAACCTTTCCAATGAAAAACAAAACTTGTAGGAAGATCGATAGTAGTCGGGACCCCTTAATGTGAATTCTGTTCCATCACACTGACTACAAATTAATAAAGGTATTGGAACGAGCTGCACACCAGGCGGCATGGAAAGACTATTTCGCGCTGGGGTATTGGCGTCACCGTTGTAGCAAGGAATTGCTTTTTGGACTATATATTGACGAATGTGTTAGCTTGCTAGTTGTGCCAGAAGATCGCCTACATTCTGCCTGAATGAGTACTTGGGATGCATCAATCGTTGGTGTGAAATTCACTGATTACAACGGAAACGTAGGATCAAAGCTGAAACCAATCCTCTCAGTAGTCTGCAAACAAGTGGTATTTCCTCTTCGCTTCCCTCCCAGCTGTGGTGGCTGGAAGAAAAAATAATCTTCCTTACACTCAATAGTTTGAATATTCAAATATCGGTAATATGTTGTTGAATCATAACAAAACCGAAAGTAGCTGCACAGTCAACCTATAGTTTAATTACAATCAAACAATACGATTTTACTACAGTCAAACAATACAGTTTTACTACAGTCAAACAATACAGTTTAACTACAATCAAACAATACAGTTTAACTACAATCAAACAATACGGTTTTACTACAGTCAAACAATACAGTTTAACTACAATCATACAATACAGTTTAACTACAATCAAACAATATAGTTTAACTACAATCAAACTACAGTTTAAATAAAATCAAACTATACAGTTTAACTACAATCAAACAATACAGTTTAACTACAATCAAACTACAGCTTAAATAAAATCAAACTATGTAGTTTAACTACAATCAACCAACAATTTAAATACAATAAACCAGTCAAGTTTGATTAAAATCAAACTATACAGTTAACTACAATCAACCTACAGTTTAAATACAATAAACCAGTCAAGTTTGACTAAAATCAAACTATACAGTTAACTACAATCAACCTACAGTTTAAATACAATAAACCAGTCAAGTTTGACTAAAATCAAACTATGCAGTTTAACTACAATCAACCTACAGTTTAAATACAATAAACCAGTCAAGTTTAATTGCTATCAAACCAACAAAACAAACACGTAATACACACTTGGCTCGTCATCTGAAAGCAGATTTTATACATATTAACACTTGAGTGATTTTGTAGCTATGATATTAAATATATAGTTTCATGAAAGAAATCGCTAGCTATTAAGGACAAGAGAACTTCTTAAATGAACATTATTATTTTTTTTTTGTGTGTGTTTATCTTCAATGGTTAATTTTCTTCATTAAAACTTATTTAGTGTAAGTGGTTTTGTAAAAACCCAAATGTAGCGTCAATTAAAAGATGAAGAATAGTAAATTGAATAACACAGGTTTATATCCATAATAGGGGAATTCACCCCACTTGTTTATGTACGAATTCCGATCTGTTTAATTCTTGGACATTTACTTACAGTTAATTAAAATATAGAATATTTAAAGCTCGTTTAAAAAGGTTGATGTTTTATGCGTTTATTGTTGTTGCAACGACTTTCATTACCAACTTATTAAACATCTACAAGTTCTACCCCAATCACACCATTAACTGGTTCAAAATATGTTAATTCTATCCCATCACATCATTTACTGGTTCTATTCTTGTCACGTCATTAACTGGTTCAAAATGTACCAGTTCTGTCCCCATCATAATCTTAAATAGTTCAAAATGTACCAGTCCTATCCTCATCACATTATTAACTGGTTCAAAATGTACCAGTTCTATCCCCATCACATTATTAACTGGTTCAAAATGTACCAGTCCTATCCCCATCACATTATTAACTGGTTCAAAATGTACCAGTTTATTCCCATCACATTATTAACTGGTTTAAAATGTACCAGTCCTATCCTCATCACATTATTAACTGGTTCAAAATGTACCAGTTCTATCCCCATCACATTATTAACTGGTTCAAAATGTACCAGTCCTATCCCCATCACATCATTTACTGGTTCTATTCTTGTCACGTCATTAACTGGTTCAAAATGTACCAGTTCTGTCCCCATCATAATCTTAAATAGTTCAAAATGTACCAGTCCTATCCCTCATCACATT